AGCACTCTTCCTCTGGGGTCACCTCCCGGTCACCACGCTGCTAAGCGGTCTCGGAGGAATCCCAACACCATTAGAAGCTTCCTGCCATTCTCTTCACCGGCACGACGCCTTCTCCTTGTTCCTACACAAAAACCACAGGCTCTGACACTGTCCCGCACTCGCCCATGTCTCCAGGTCACCACGAAGCAGAAGCTCTGCCACGGCAGGTGCCATGGGATGGGGCGGCGGTGTCGGCTGCTTGTGGCCCACCCCTGCCCTGCCCCAGCCTGACCACTGCAGACAGCTGGGTCTGGGGTAGAGAGAAGGCTCTGGGAGGGCTGGAGGGAAGGTGGAGAAATGACAGGAGGGGCGGAGGGTAAGAACTGGGGAGGGTGGAGGCAGAGCCAGCGAACCTGACCCAGGGGCCCCTCGGCAGGTGGCAGTGCCTTTCTCATGTGGGGGCCCTCACCTGTGTCCTCTCTGCCAGGCTCGGGGGCTCGGAGGACCCAGACCCAGCCTGCAGCACTGACGCCTGTGGTCACGCCAGCCGGGAGGGGACCAAGGCAGCCACCCCAGACTCACCTGGCCCACAGAGGCAGGGGTTCCCAGTAGCCAGGGGCTCCCACACCTGCTTACTAGGGACGGGGGGGGGGCATTTGAGCTGGAGAGANGCTCAGAGCGCCGCCGGCGTAGCTCTCTCTCAGGGCTCCGGTTCATTGGCCGGCGTAGCTGTCACTCAGGGAGCCGGCTCATTAGGCGATNGCATTTGAGCTGGAGAGAGGGAGGCAGAGGGCTGGCTCCCAGGGAAAAGCCCACTCCAAGCAGAGGGGCAGCTCGAGAGGGGCCCCGTGTGCTGCCCACCTTCTCCAGCCAGCCGGCCAGCATCTAGCACCGACCGCTCCGCCCCCAGTTCCTCCTGCCCCGGGCTCCGGTCTGCTCCCTGAACTCTCCAGGTCCCCGCTCCTGGCCTCCCGGGCCATCCTCACACAGACGCCCCAGGTAGCCCTAGGCCTCTGGTCACAACCTCAGCGTCTGTTAGCAGCCAGCCTCCCCACGGGACCTGAGCTCCGCACGGCCGTGGCTACCCCACCAGGTCCCTCTGAGTGCCCAGTGCTTGGTGGCAGTGGAGCAAAAACTGACCGAATGAGCCCGGCCAGCGTGGCTCAGCGGCTGAGCATCGACCTAGGATCCAGGAGGTTGCAGTTCGATTCCCGGTCAGGGCACATGCCCGGGTTGTGGGCTCGACCCCCAGCAGGGGGCCTGCAGGAGGCAGCTGATCAATGACTCTCATCATTGATGTTTCTCTCTCTCCCTCTCCCTTCCTCTCTCTGAAATCAATAAAAAACATATTTCTTAAAAACTGACGAAATGAATTAGTTGGTGAACGAACGAGCGAACAGATGCTCAGGGGAACTGAGCTGCTCCCAGCAAGACGGTGAAAGAATCAGCCGTCGGCGCATCTCCGTCTAGAAGCCAAGGCGGCCTCCGCCGTCGATGTCACCCACGCACGTGTCCGTGGGGACGGTCCTAGAGGCCGCGCGGCAGGGCGGGCCTCCAAACCCCGAATAGGAGAAGAAGGGGTTCCTCCCGCCGACCCGCACCCCCTCTCAGCAGCGCGGGCGCAGACAGGTGCCCCCGCGTGGGCTTGCTGCCCGCGTCCCGTCGTGTCCCTGGGGATGGGGGGGGGGCTCGGCGTCTGAAGCTCGTCCCACGGAGGACGCGGAGTGACCCACGCGGCGGCGGCGCCTCACCCTCTCCTGGCGAGTTACAGAACCGAAGAGCCCGCCCGCGGTGCCGGGCTCCCAGCCGTCCTTCTAGGGAACCTCAACTAGGTCCACCTGAGGCGCAGGTGGCCGGGCTCGGCTGCCGCTCGAGCGCCGTCTCATTGGCCGGCGTAGCTGTCACTCAGGGCCCCGGTTCATTGGCCGGCGTAGCTGTCACTCAGGGCCCCGTTCATTGGCCGGCGTAGCTGTCACTCAGGGCGCCGGTTCATTGGCCGGCGTAGCTGTCGCTCAGAGCGCCGCCGGCGTAGCTCTCTCTCAGGGCTCCGGTTCATTGGCCGGCGTAGCTGTCACTCAGGGAGCCGGCTCATTAGGCGATTATCCCGAAGAGGCTGAACCGCCCTCCAGTGAAAGTGGGAGGAGCCGGCTCTTCCTCGCCTCCGCTCCCGTAAACCAGCTGTTCACCGAGAATCTCACAGCGTCCTCTACCTTCTTTATTCTTGAAACATTCTCGTCGTCACTACGCCGTCCATCCGAGATGGCGAGCTGAGGGTGCACTGGCATCGCCCCCAGCGCCCAGCGCCCAGCCCCCAGCCCCCAGCCTCCAGCCTCCAGCTCCCAGCACCCAGCACCCAGCTCCCAGCCTCCAGCCTCCAGCTCCCAGCACCCAGCTCCCAGCTCCCAGCACCCAGCTCCCAGCCTCCAGCTCCCAGTCCCCAGCACCCAGCTCCCAGCACCCAGTCCCCAGCACCCAGCTCCCAGCACCCAGTCCCCAGCACCCAGCACCCAGCTCCCAGCCCCCAGCACCCAGCACCCAGCTCCCAGCCCCCAGCCCCCCACTGGGACCCCCACTCCCTCCCCAGACACGGAGGACATGAGCGTCCCGAAAGGCCAGCCACGGGCTGTTCCCGGATCCCTGAGACGAACACATGAAAGCCAAATACATAAATAAGCAAATCCTGCCCTAAAAAAAGAATTTTCGAAAACAAACAACCAAGAAAGGCAAAGCTTCAAGTTCCGGATACACGTTCTGACCCTGTCCCATGGAGATCCTGTCCCATGGGGACCCTGTCCCGTGTCTCCTGGAAGATGTGACAACCTGGGCCCTCAAGGCCAGGCCCAGTGACTGAGACCCTCCCCATCTCTCCACCACCCAGCCCTGCCCCCAGCCCAGCTCCTTCACCTCTGTAAGGCCCAGGCTCCCCTGGGGAGGGTGCCAGCTGAGACTCACCTTGTGCTAGGGAACTCCTCGGGTTCTGCTGCCCTGGGTGGGTTCGGACCCCACATGCCGCATTCCCACTCCTGCACTCCAATTCCTGCACCCCACTTCTACATCCCCACTCCTGCACCCCACTCCTATACCCCCACTCCTGCATCCCCGCTCCTGTATCCCCACTCCTGCACCCCCAGTCCTGCACCCCACTCCTGCATCCCCACTCCTGCACCCCCAGTCCTGCACCCCACTCCTGCATCCCCACTCCTGCCGCCTTGTCCTCCCAGGCAGACAGAGCCACAGCACCCAGCACAGCTAGAGCTCAGATTCAGCCAGACTGGGGAGGAGGAACCGTCACAGCCCCTGACCCTACAGATCGTCCCAACCTTGGCCTCGAGTCCCTGAAAACCCAGCACTCGGGGGCTCATCTGAACAGGGGGAGAGGCCCGCCTGGCCTTCTGGGGTCTGGCCGGCCCCTGGCCCAGCTGCTCCTCCCGCCCAACCCTGGGCTGGTCACTCTAAGACCCAGGAGAAACCAAGGGCCTGGGAGGCCCAGCTCAGGGGTGCAGAGCAGACACATCCTGGGTCCGCTGCTGCTGGACAAGCCGGGACCTGCGGCCACTCCCCTCCCCCAGCCCAGGAGCCCAGCCACACGTCCTGCACCCACGTCCCTTCCTGGGTGGACAGGCCCTGCCTCCCCCACTAAACTCAGGGACACAGGCCTGGCCCGCTTCCTCCCCAGCCCCCGTTACTGTGTCAGGGTTGCTAGAGCCACCTTTGGCAGGCTGAGGAGCCCCCAGCGGAGCGGAAACGGGGCCTGGCTTTGATGTCCACCCTGCACCCACTCAACAGACCCCTTTGTTCCCGACGCCAGCCCAGAGCCGCCAGCCCAGAGAGCCGCAGACCCAGACCAGGGACCGAGGGCGGCTGCAGGGGCGGACGCCCCCCCCACGGGCAGCTGGCCGGCATCCACGCCCCCCCCACCCGCGGCCCCCTGAGCGGCTTCCTTCTCTACCCTCCACTCCCTTCCGGAGAGAATTATTCATTTCCTCTCCCAAGGAAACATCGCAGCATCCTCTCCTGTCCCCTTTGCCCCCGGAGTTCACGTGAGGCAGTCTTCAGCCCCCACGTTTTCTGCGTGAGGAGGGGCCCAGAGGACAGGCTATGACAGGACCCCTGCATCAGATTCCTGTCCCAGCCACCCACCGCCAACCCCTGGACCTGGGAAGCAGGGACCCTAGTCCCCCCTCACAGCACCGGGCGCCACGTCACTGTTTCAGGGGACACAAGACCTCTGGGCCGACCTGTCCAGGGGAGGGACGCTGGCTCCTCTGGCCCAGGCAGCCTCACCTGTCCACACGGCAGCACTGAGCCCCACCCTTCCACGAAGCAGAGGCTCCCCAGCCACCCGCTGGGCCCTGACACCCCGATTCCAGCCCAGCCGCGCTTCCCGGAGCCTCCATCTCCGTGTCTGTCGGCACCTGGATGCGGGGCTCCCCTCCCTGCTGCGTCCACCAGGACTCGCTCTCAGAGGGGGGCAGCGACTCCATTCAGCAGAGAAGGGGGGGCTGAGGCGCAGGGGGCAGCGGTGGGAGGCAGGATGGGAGCGGTTCCCCTGAAAGCCCACCGAGGCCGGGTCCCAGTGCCCAGGCCGGCCCTTCTGGGACAAAGAGGGCCCGGAGACCAGGACGTGGGCATGGCGGGGCAGGTGGGCAAGGGGTCAGCCTCTGTGACACTGACCCCAAACCAGGCTCAGGGGTGCCCGAGAGCCCCTCCCGATGGTGCCAGGCACCAGGGCCTGCAGACGGCCTCTGCCCGCCCAGCCCTGTCTCCAGGGCCCGCATCGGCACAGGGGGAGTCGCGGCTCCTCCTCTCATACTTAGTTATAAAAGCCTTTGGTGAGCGCACTGGCTGAAGGAGTGGCCCTGGACGTCTCTCACTGACTGCGACAGTCTTGCCAAGTGCAGACAGTGGGGCGGGGCTGCATCTCACCCCGTGGCAGCTGGGAGGGACAGTCCCCAGGAGACAGGGTCCCTTCAGAGGCAGATCTAGCATCTGTAGGTGGCACAGGTGGGTGGGCCACTCACCTGAGAGGCAGCCCTGGTCACCAGGCTGCTGGCTCCACCCGGGGCAGCACCTGAGCACGGTCTGGGCCTCCATGGTGTACACTTGCCGGTAGCCTGTGTAGTAGACGGTTCTGGAAAAGGAAGGAGAAGGGAAGGGCCGGTGGCATCTCACCCCCTGCGGTTGACTCTGGCCGCACCCCCTCCCCCAGGCTGTCCCCCAAGTTGATCCTCTGAATGTCCCCACCTCACAGTTGGGTGGGTGAGGCTCGGAGGTGGGTGGAAGGCCTGTGTCCAGAGGCTGGCCCGGGGTGCACGTGCCCTGGACCCAGCAACAGGCTTCCTGCAGCTCGCTCGGCCCGGGATCGCAGTGCCCCACCCCCTCCTCCCCCACGGCAGCCCCAGCTGGGCACAGACGTGAGCAGAAACTAATACAGGGCCCCCGGCAGCCTGGCTCAGCAGTTGAGCATCGGCCTGGGATCCAGGAGATCGAGGTTCGATTCCCGGTCAGGGCATATGCCCGGGTTGCGGGCTCGATCCCCAGTGGGGGGGGGTGCAGGAGGCAGCCCATAAATGACTCTCATCATTGATGTTTCTCTCTCTCCCTCTCCCTTCCTCTCTCTGAAATCAATAAAGATATATTTTTAAAATAATAAAATAAAAATAAACTCTGGAAGAAGGTACACAAACTGTTAGTCACTTCTGGAGGGTGATGAGATTATAGGGGAATTTCACCTTATTGTAAATATTTGTGCAGCATTTCATTTTNAATACAGGACTCAAGGCTCAGCACATGCCCTGGGTCCCCTGGCTGTGAGGTCCTATGTTTATGGTGACAAGACTGGCATGTGGATGTGGGGGGCAGGAGGGACTGGAGGGGCGAAGGAAGGACAAGATGGTGGAGTAACCGGGGAGGAAGGGGACTGGCCAGCCACCCTGCAGCCTCAGGCACAGGGACACCTTTCTGGCACCCAACGCCATCAGTGACCCAGACCCAGGCCCAGGCCCAGCCAACAGCCACGGGGTCAAGGGCCCTTGAGCCCTGGAGAGCGGCTGGAGAGCCTGAACTGCCGTCTGTCTCCAGGAAACAAAACCCCCTCCAGGGGTGCTGGGCTCGGCCTCAGGAGCCTGGGAGAGCCTGGGAGCTGGTGGCTGCCCTGGGGACCCGGACCCCACAAACAATCAGGGCCGCGTCTGGGAAACGCGGTGCGTGCGCGGCCCACGGCGGTCAGGGCTCTGCAAACACGGCCCTGGCAGGACATGAAACCGCCTCCTGCAGAGCGACCGCCCCAGCCACAGCGGGACAATATTTGGCAGAGCGGAGTATTTGGGCCCTTCCACCGTAAATATTTATCTCTCTCCCGGGGCTACGTGCAGGTCCTCGCGGTCACTGGGAAGCCCGGGTGACCTGGCCCATCTGCCACCCTCTCCTAGGTCCCCAAAAGTAGGAGATCCTTGGAGACAGCCGATCAGCCTGCAGCCCCCAGGGGCCCCAAGAGCAGACCCCTCACTCCCCTGCAGCTCACACTGGACACCTCCAAGGGGCTCCAGCCACCAGCTGGGTGCTGGTTCATAGCAGGGCCACTGTCACAGGAAGGCGTGACTGCCAGGTGGGTGCCCAGGCCTCTATCTGCAGCCACCGGGGAGCCCTGGCCACAGCGCAGCAGGATCTGGGGAAAGGCCTGGTGGCTGGCACACGTGGGCTCTGAGCTCCAAGCACTCCCTTTCCCTCCC